AAATACGATCGTGAACCTGTAACTAAAAAACGTCGTAAAAATAAATCATCATCATCATCTCAACAACCACCACAACAGCAACCATCACCATCACGACAACAACCATCACCATCACGACAACAACCATCACCATCACGACAACCATCACCACGACGACTATCACCACGACGACTATCACCACGACAACCCTCACCACATGATGATTTTGATTTTTTCGACAATGGCGGTGGTGGTGATGACGATAACAATGAATGTACAGGAGGATGCCCCAAACATTGTCGAGATGATTAATCCATTTTTTATATTTTTTATCCTGTATTATTATTATATATATTATTAATAAAGAATTGGTACATATTAATATGAATTATTTTTCGTGTGAATGAACTACTACTATTTCGGGTAAAAATCGGTTACATTGTATATCATTTTTTCGCGTGAGGTTATATAGCATCAAGGTACGATCAAGATTTTATATCCAATATAGATCTATGTACCTGATATCTTGGCATCTGCGTTCCGAAACGGAATGGAACACATAATTTTTCGGATAACTTTTCGGCATTCACCAATATATAATATATACTGATAATAATCACAAGATAACAGACTAATACATGTAATTTGTTTTATGAGATTCGGGAAAATAGAAATAGAAATTCTGAAATTTGCGTTCCAAATTGGAACGGAAACGTAATTTTTTTTAACCTGATAATTTAAATAAATCTGCACCTTATATAAAAGTTATTAACAAACATGTCATCAGAGCTTGATTTATTGAGACAACGAGTTGCCAACCTTGAGGTTGAAAATACCAAGTTAAAACAGATCATAGAAGAAATTGCTAATCTTAAGATCGAAAATACAAAACTAAAACAAATAATAAAACAAAATCGAACTACTAATATTACTTCACAGTCTCCAGTTTCTCGGGTCTTATCAGTAACTTCACAAATGCCTACTCTATCAATTAATAGTCACGATAGCACTGACTCTGTAAATCTAGAGCAGACGCAAAGTGATACACCCGAGAAAATTATTTCTCCAGAACAGATAGAGAACACATCTGATAACGCGTCTAATTCTGATATATATCAACCCATAATCATAGAGACTAAATCGTTGGAAAATAAAGAAGTCGATGAATTCCTGGATTCGAAAGATAAGGAAGGGGTTAGTAATATGATAAGAGAAAGAAACAAGGAAAAAAAGTTTCGGGACTTATCTCCAGTAGAATCAGAAAAAATCGTGAATAAAATTCACGATCAAAATCTTAACGAATCCTCTAAACCATCTATTAATTCTGATTCTACAGATTCATTTGAATATAATGATGATCTTTCTCAACTTGACAAAAACCAGATTGTAGAACAAGATTTAAAACAAGAACTATCTGCCTCTCCAACTTCCAGAAAAAATATAACTAGTAATCGGGACCTGCTGGATGGTGAAAATCAACATAATCAAGTTACGGCACAAAGCATAGTTTGTATATTTCGAAAAGCAATTCAATCTGGTCGGGAAGAAATCTTGCATTGGTGTCGCTATATAGAAAGGTATGATAAAAGGGTTAATGAGATTATTTCCGATGGTAAAGTTAAGATTAAAACAGCAAAGAGTTTGGTATATAAAGAAGTTAAACAGCTACTTCCTGACACTACGGATGCGAATCTGCGACAGAAAACTCTTAGAGCTAGAAAAATCTATAATCTTTTTAATGCCATAGGAATAGAAAAAATCGAGCAAGTTACGTATAGCGCAAATGCTATTTCAAACCTTACTAACACTCAAATTCAGAATATTATAAATCATGTACTATCAGCGGAGCTGGCACAGCCAAAAACCGTGAATAAAATTCATGATCGGAATAATTCCAAAGTAAGTGAATCAATCACAACCCCTATCCCACCATCTTCATCATCTCATAGCTCTTTACCGGAGACCGAGGTAAGTACACTTATAGTATCTCACCCCGAAGAGGCTTCATCGGAAAGTGTATCAGCTAATAATATATCTCCAGAAACTAAGATCCCATCCACGCCTCAGGTAAATATACAAACTTATACCCGTGCTTATTTTCGTAACAAATTATTGGAGCAGTATCCCAATTTATATAAAGAATGTAGTGACGGAAATGATAATTATTATGGTATTAATGCTAAATCATTATGCCCTTTATGTAAGTTAGAGCATGAGAACGAAGAAGGTATAGAAGGCGAGTATAAAGATGGATCTTACTATATTAAATGTGTAGTATCTGAAATCGGTATTAACATACCAGCCCATGCCAAAATAAATGTATAATTTTATCTGTTTAATGCTTTCTTATTACTACACGAAGTGCACTTTCTCCAAAAGATATTTTTTTTAGCTGTGCCTACTTCACTGATAAGTGATACCTGATACGAGAAATTAAATTGCTTTGAAATTATATAAATGACAAAATAGATACACAAGCCAAGTCTGATAAGGTACTAACCCCTGAATATCTGAATTGGTATTCCAAATTAACTGATTTGCCAACCACTATATCTGATAAACTTCGTTCCAAGTTTTATAAAATATATAAGAAAAAAACTGGGCTTGATCCCTGGATAATGTCTGAAACTCCTGAACTCCCACAAATCGAAAAGACTAATAATTACCTTTCACAGGATTGTGTTATCAAAATTTCCAAGTTTCCGGAAGAGAAAGGTATAATCCATGAAACAGTACATAAACGTTTTCCTTTCTTATCATATACTAATTCAAACACATGGTATCGAGATGTTTTTAAATATACCGATTCAGAAGCTAAATGTCCAATATGCAAAGATGTACATATATGATATTGTATATGGGGTGATTGGAGCGATCTAGGTAAAAATGATCACTATTATCTCATTTGTTCATTTCGTATTGATCAAAAGAAAATTATAATCGCGATACAGAGCTTACAGGAAATTCAAGTAAGTATACCAAACAAAACCCACCTTTATCAGTTAGAAGCTAGCTTACGTCAATATGCCATTGAACATGGAATGGATCCCAAGAAATTTTCGGTCATTACAGAGGCTGAGAAAAAAAGGTGGGCCATGGGGTGTTTTCCTGCTGACTTGAAAAGAGATATACGTCTTTATCGCAGAGGAATAAAAAGAAATGAAGATACCAGAAAATATTACAAATTTTTAACAGATCGGGAAAGGCTAGTCAGTGAAGAATTATTACGTCGCGGTATACTAAAAAACGGTTTAAGTACAGCATGGCTCGATAATCTTATGGAAGAATGAGAAAAAACTTATAATCAATTCGTACAAATTTTTAACTAAACAATGCATAAATCATTTTCCGTGATCACATGCATAAAAACTCTAATTTTTACTCAAACTTTTGATTATATCCGCATCTTATATAAACAATGACAAATACACAATCTAAAATCGATTTATTAAAACAGCGTATTATTATACTTGAGGCCAAAAACACCAAGGTTAATGCAGAGAATGTAAAGTTAAAACAGGCTATGGAAGAGAATTTCAAGTGTGAAGTTGAAAATGCTAAGCTTAAAGCTGAGTCTTTACAGGAGGTTAAGACACGCGAAAGGATTGAAAAAACTATGCTAGAGTTAGATAGGTGTTTATATCACAAATCATTATCTATGGAATAGTTAGTATATCATTTTTTTGCGATCACATGAGGTCACTTCCTTGGGCTCTATGTCACATATGCGAATTCACACTCAATGATCAACACTTGCGAAATATGAATTAAAAATAGGGTCAAAGACCCATTGCAAGGTAATAACAAATAATTGTTTTATTATTTTTTTTTCTTGTAAAGTACAATATCAAGACCAGCCTATATTATACGTGTTGCCCAAATCCCAAATTACTAGTATTTGGAATTTGGGATTTGGGATTTCAGCAAAAAATACTAATCATAATTTGGAATTTGGAATTTGGGATTTCAGCATTTGGGATTTTGGCATTTGGATTTTGAATTTGGGTGGCAGGTATAACCTATATAGAATCATAGAGTAGGAACAAAGAGGGAGGAATAAAGCACGTTAAAACATGCCTGCTTAGACCCCTAAGTCTTAAGATGGCAGTTCCTTTCCCTACCCCACACTAGCTATCGTTATTATTATCATCTCCCCCTTCTCCTCACTTTTAGGTTCACTATCTATTTCACCCTTCTGCTTGGATACCCATAATTTTAATGAATCCAGTGTATCTTCTTTCAGATTTTTAGTTATTTTTTTATGAAAATTTCTAACGGTGGTGTCACTGATTGCTATCCCCTTCTTATGTTTGATGACAAGGTCCCAGATTTTCTCAGTCACCTTTGGATACAGCCTTGCCATGGACTGCTTTTCGTGAGTTTTCTTTTCTTTGAACAGGGCATCAATGTCTTCCCAGAGTTCGAAAATAGTACTAGTGTAATTTTGGGGTGATTTGGATGTATTAGACCTCACGTTACTACTTCTTGCAGTCCCATCCCGAACTTCACGAATATCATAGGCAAGGTATTTTACAATTTCAGATAAATCAGAGATACTTTTTTGTTGTTTCTTTAGCGCTGAAGTCATTTTTGCGTTGAATTGTTTTTCAGTATTCCCGGAACTGTATCTAATTATGAAGTAGAGAAATATCATTTGAATCAGTATGAAGCTGACAAGTAATAAAAAATCGGGAGTAATTAAGAACATTTTAATAAGATTTGCATGATTTGTGATTCAATTGTGTTGTAAAGAAACTAACACGACAAAGATTTTGCGATTATAGATTATGATTCCTGTTTGGAAATTATGTGAACTAGTATCTGGAAATTATGTTTTTTTACTTGGGGATTATTCATTAATGTTGTTTGAAATTACGTGCATTTTCACGTTCTAAATGATTACTTTGTATCTTAAGGCCAGACCCACTGAGACAACATATATTTTTATACGTCAAGTCTTGACATCAGATATCCATGGCATTGGTTCTTTACATCTCATATTAAATCAAGGCAATAGATCACAAAATATGATGTCTTTATACTATTTATACCAAATTTGCGTATCAGGTGATCTGTCACCTATAAAATCGTCTGTACGCATATTGCCGATAATTGTTTGTTACTTAATTTAGATATAGTATGCACCCATTTTGGAATAAATAACACTTCGGCTCCGCATCTCGAATACATGTCATGGGTAATAGAAATGTGCTACGTAATACATAAAACACTCATCGCATATAAATGTAATCAGACATGAAATCATAGAAAAAAATACTATCTCTGAACCATAGATTTTACTCCACGAACATGCGTGATAGAGAAAGAATCACAAAGATTCCAGACTGAATTAGAGATAAAATATTTTTTATTATGTATTTATACATTTACTATGACACTTGCATTACCTGAATTATTAACGAAAATTTTTAATTTCTTAGCTGAAGATAATGCACTATATCCCACCTTGTTTGTCTCTAGACTCTGGTTCACGTGTTTTGGTTCAATTTTATGGTGTCGCATCGAATTGATAGGAGATGGGGATGCCTTTGGAGAGGAATATAAAATACAATTAAAAAAGTTTCTAAAGATAGTACGCAAAAATTCAAGACTGACTTATGGCTCAAGTGTACGTTATCTCAAAATTTCAGACTATCATAAACTCTCAAATAAGGTACTTGGGAAATTCATCGAAATATTTCCAAATATAATCCATCTTGATTTTAAACGAAGTTATGGATACAATGATACAGTATTATTCAAGATTTCTCAAGCATATCCTAACTTAATTCATCTTAATGTTTTTAACAACGGGAAGTTAACTGATTATTCTATTATCAAACTCGCAAGTAGATGTTTTAAATTATAGTATTTGGAAATTAGTTGAGGTGGAAATATTACTGACAAGTCTATCTATGAAATTTCGAGATCTTGTTACTGCTTAAGGCATCTAGGAATAAGTGGAGGTAAAAGTTGTATTTCTGATAAATCTATACACAAAATTACACAATTCAATTCCAATATCCAATTTTTAAATTTTAATAACTGCAAGAAGTTTACTGATATCACAATCCATGCTCTTGTAGGTTCGTACCTGGATCTGAGGGAATTAGATCTTAGTGACTGTAAACAGATAACTGACATAAGCATCAGACAAATCGCACAATATCATAATCTGAAACACCTTGCACTTAATTATCTTAAATTTCTTAGTGATGAAACGATATGTATTATTGTGTAATCTCAATCTTAAATTTTGTAATGTTACAGATACAGCAGTAGAAGCAGTATCACAATCATGTTGTAATATAGAATACCTCAATCTTTATGGATCAGAATCCATTACTGATAAGTCTATTTCTAAATTAGCAAAAATGTGTTCTAAGGTTCGAAATCTTGAATTAGGATTTTGCGAGCTTATAACCGATATAGCTATCAAAGATATCGCACATAATTTATCTGATCTAAAATATCTTGGTTTAAAATATTGCATAAATATCAGCAAAGAGGCATTAGATATATTGAATTCGGATTTAGATATAAGTGGATATTATACAATCACATCTGCTTTATAATTGGAAAAAAAAAATCTGATTATTCTGATCACGATTTATAATGCAGTTGAAATATCCGTTTTTCCTCTCGTGTTTGGAAAAAGAGAATGTATATGATAAATTAAAAAGATAACCTACAATATCTGGCTTTGAGCAATTATTGCGAGAAGGCAGGTATACTCGAATACACCTACTATACTTCCCTTACTTTTATTTTCAACTATCACAAAGTTATTCCCTGGATTATACTGTATGTGTGTTCATATTTATTTGGATTAAGCAGATTATTATACTGAGAGGGAATATCGGTAAATTTACCCATTCTTTTATGCATATTGTTTCTTGACTTAGCCATACTAACATATATACATCCATTTATTCGATTCAAATTTATACATTTATACGATATTTTCTACATTAAATATATTTCTTCGAAACTTGGTGAGTCAAGATATTTTATTATAGCAGATATGGTAAATACTAATAATAGCAGAGCTAGTGCCAGTGGCAGAGCCACGAGTTTCCAACTCAAGACATATAAATCTGATCAAAGCAAAACATTTACTTGTTTATATGAAGTACTTTTATATAAGAAGAAGGATGTAATAGCAATTCAAGAAAAACTTGGTATTAGCTGGGAAGCTAGTATGACTAATGGCAATGTACCAAAGCAAACAGAACACGAGCCCAAAGGAAAAACACTTGATAATTCATATAAGTTATTATTAAATTTGATGGAGAATTTAATAGTTATATAGGAGAAATTTAATATAGATATCAATCCCATTTTAGAAGTGGAACTTAGAAGGGATAAAACCTCTTCAGATAAACCAATTAAATTATTTGATCTGCTTTCATGCTTAGAAGACGATATAGTGATAATTCAGAAAAAAATCAGTATTGTTGGCTATACTAATCAAGAAATGGCAGAAGAAGCTGATAAAAATGCAAGAGCGTATCTCCGAAAGTTTGAGAAATTTCATAGTCCATTAGAAAATGTTTCAAGTGTATTAATACAGAAATTTATTGACAGGGGAGTAAAAATATTTTATTTTACTGGAGAGGGACTCCCATTATTTTCGAATGTTTCTCCTCAACAATTACACAAAATTTTCGTAAAAAATTATACTAGCACCAATCAGTGCCTATGTCTTGAACAGGTTAGCTAATCTACCTTCAGAAACATAATCTAATCAGCTTTACTACGAAACCTATTTTTACGATATTTTTGGGTAGGAGATACAACCTTTTTCTTTGTAATACAGATATAATTCTTTTGGAGTTTCTTAAGATCCAGATCATACCAGTCTGAACTCGTGAATTCTGAATCGGAACTGGATAAACTAGTCTCTGTTTCAGATTTTATTCATGATAACTTTTCTTTATTTATACAACTTAGTTTATACTCAATAATACGAAGTTTTTCAAAAATTCCATACTCTATATTATTTTCTATAGAATGAACTATACCTGCTACCCAAATTCAAAATCCAAATGCCGAAATCCCAAATGCTGAAATTCCAAATTCCAAATCCCAAATTATGATTAGTATTTTTTGCCAAAATCCCAAATCCCAAATCCCAAATACTAGTAATTT